CGTGGTCTTTTTTCTTTCTCTCTAGAATGTGCCTCAGTATTTTTTGTAGAGTTGGTTTGTTGGTCATGAACTCACCCAGTTCCTCTTTGTCATGGAAGAATCTTGTTACTCCATTAATTTTGAGAGACAGTTTTTCAGGGCACATCAATCTGGGTTGGAGGTTATTTTCTTTCAGGTCTTGGAATACTTCATTCCAAGCTCTTCTTGATTTGATGGTTTGTGTCAAGAAGTCTGTCATGATTCTGATGAGTTTTCCTTTATAGGTGATCTGTTTCTTTTTTCTGACAGCTTTTAATATTCTGTTCTTGTGTTGAATTTCTGGGATCTTCATTGTTATATGTCTGAGTGTAGATCTATTTTGGTTGTAGCTTGCTGGAGTTCTGTATGCATAATTGATCTGAATATCATTTCCTTTTCCCAGGTCTGGGAAGTTTTCTTTTATTATTTCTGTAAACGGCCTTTGTATTTCATTTGTGTTCATCCATGCTTCTTCACTCACATTTTTTATTTGTATAGTTCCTCTTGTTGTTTTCTACCCTTTGTATTGTTATTTCCTGTTTCCTTGTTATTTTGAAGAGATCTTTCCTTTGTGACCTCAAGTTGAAAACCTGTCTTCAAGGTTTGATAGTCTATCTTTAGTTTTTTCAAGCAGTTTTGCCAGCTTTCAATGGAGTTTTTATTTCCAGGTAATCTCTTTGAATCTGTTTCATGTATTCTAATTTTTTAATATTCTTCATTGAAGGTTTCCCTCATTTTTCTATACTCCTCTATTCTTCCATCTGTGTCTTCCTTAGAGATGCTTAGCAATTCTTGTGTTATGTTTCTCATATCTTCCTTTACCTGTAATAGTATTTCTGTTTTAAGTTCTTTTATAGCTTCATGGAGTTGTTTCTTTATTTCAGTTGCTGTTGCTTCAAAAACTGCAGGTGTGCAACTCCCAATCTCCTCTGTGTTTACAACTCCTGGACCAGTACTGCTTGGGTTGGAGGCCAGAGACTGCCTTTTGCCATGTTCCTGGTTTCTTCTGCACAAGTGGGTAGTGGGGTCCCCAGCACTTCCAGTCTTATTTATAATTACACTGAAGCATGTTGACTAGGTATTTCTGCTGTTTGCTGCTTTTCTCAGTCTGCTGCTGGCTACCAGAGTATAAGCAGGAGTGAGGCAGGGTGGCATCTTCCTTCCAAGCTGGGTGAACCACAGGGAGTCTTCACCATGTTAGTGTGAGCCAAGCATGTGGGATTAGTTGGGATACCTTTAGCAAGACTTCAGCAGTGGCTATTTGACTGCACACAGAGGTGGGACGCAGTTCAAACAATTTCCACCCGTCTGCCCCAAGCTAGGAGTGGCTGAGTGAAGCAAGCTGCAGTTCTGTCTCTGGGCTTTTCCTGTCCAACTCCAAAATGGCACCCAGCCAATTGTCCACTCTTGTGCTCCCACTGAGTTCCCCACACTCACCGTCAGCCAGTGCAGTTCTCTGGTCCACCACTTCCCTCCACCACCACATCTCCACACCAAGGCCTTTGGGCTTGCCAGCCACCATCTTCAGCCTATGCATCTCTGCATTCCAATAGTGCTTCTGGCACAATGGGACTGGCTCTGGTGGAAGGGCCTCCAGCTACTTCCTTCTTCTGTTTAAGTTTTCCTTTTTTTTGTTTTTAAATTCTATCCGTGGGGTTCAGTTCTCACTTTAGTCTCTTTCTGGGTCAAGGGAACCCACTGCTTTCCTTTTTATCCTCTCTAGAATGCTATATTCCAGCATCTGGACTGTTTCTCTCAGAGAGGCTTTTTACTTTGCTGCTTACTGTTCTGCCATCTACCCAGACTGCTCTTAAAATTTAAATAGAAAATAGAAGTAGATAAAGCTTTCCCAAATCAGCTTAAACAAGGAATATCTAATTTTAAAAAACCTGATATATATGAATACATTAGAATTTTAATTATCTGTCTATCAGATAACACTTTAAAAGACAAACTAAATTCTGGGTAAAGAGAATTATAATATATGCCCCCAGGACTGCATTAAAACATTCTTTAAGGATGTACAAAAAACACAAAGGACACTACAAAGACATAGGCAGAAATTAGGGCCAAAATTTTCACAAAAGGAAATAATTACATATAAAGAAAGCACAACATTAGTGATCCAGTAACACAAAACAAGGTACCATTTTACACACACACACACACACACACACACACACACAAACACACACATATTCCTCAGCTCAAACATTTATGTTCTCCTAGACTCAGCAGTTTCTCTGGCTGTGTTGAGATTATGGAAAAGAAAGAAGAAATAGATTACAGAGAGATCAGCAAACAAGCTAGAATCAGTCTATAAAAAGGGCTGGCTGTGCAGGGGAACAGCAGCTTTTCAATTCAAGGAGTACTTGAACCAACCAAAGACTAGAACAAATACTTTCCAGAAAATGGCCAAAAAATGTTCTTAACTTTATTTATTGTTAGGAAAATATCATAAGACAATGAAGGACCATTCATTACACACTGACTGCAGTGGTTGCAATGCTGAGGAGGCTGTGCGGCAATCATAATTTTCCCATGAGGCTGCAGAAGGGTAGGTGTGTTACCACCATTTTAGCAAAGTACATAGCTTTGTACCATGAGCTCCAGCAGCTCTGTTCTCCGGCATATAACCAAGAGAAATGTTCTTGAATGTGCACCAAAAGACATGTACAAGACTTTCATAGTATACAATTCCCAATAGCTGGAAATAGATGATATCACAAATCTGGAACCAGTGCCATGCACAGGCTGTCGCCAAAATGAGGACAGCCAAACAAAACAAAACAAAACAAAACAAAAAAACCCCAAGATAGTGTAACAAATATGACCAAACAGATAAAGTCATGTCAAACACACAAGGAGCTCGAGTCCTAACATGATGACTTAAAATAAATACTCCATCACCCTAAAAAAAAAAAAAAATGAGGACAGCCACACCCAAGTATTTCCCCAAGAGCCAGTGCAATTTGCAGACTGCAAGGAGCTAGAACAGGACCTCACAAAGAGGCAAGCCCTCCCTGAGAACCAGTGCCACGTGAGGGTTGTCCCAGCAACGGGACAGCTAGACCCCAGCCCCATCCACTGCCAGGGCTGGCAAACAAGAAGAGCCAACCCCACTCCCCCATAAATGACCACTGGATTCAGAGAAACACAGGCTGCATGAGAGCTACTGAGGTGAAATGCAACTTGATGCTTGTGGTGCTTTGGTGTTTCACTGACCTTGCAGGTCTAGGGCCAGTGGTCTGATCATCTATTCAGAGGATTGGGGTACACAGTATGGTATCTAGGGCGGATCTCCTTCAGAGGGTGGTAGCCATTGTTAATTTTCTATTACCTTGTGTTGAAGTCCTGTCTTGTTTTGTTGGGTTGGGTTTTGTTCTGGTTTTCTTTGTTTTGTTTGATTTTGCCATATCCAATGGCATGAGCAGTTGTTTCAAAGATAGCAAGATATATTATAGTAGCCATTTTGAATTTACTGTTGTCTTGCTTTGAAGTCTTTTATTGCATTCATTATTTTGTTTTTGCTGGTTCTACTCTGTTCTGCTCTGTTTGATTTTTACTATATCTGAGGGTATCTGCAGCTATTTTGGGAACAGCAAGAGGCATTATGATAACTATTATTGATTTTGTATTACTTTGAAGTCTGGTGGTGCTTACACTGGTTTGCTTTGATTGGATTTGTTTTATTTTCCTTTGTTTTATACTCTTTAAAAACAAAACAAAACAGGAGCAACAAATCCTTCTCTGGAATAAAGTGGATAAATGGTAGCACATCCATACCATGAAATACTATAGTAAGAGGAGGACAAATGCACTACAGACCCATTGATGTGGATGACTCTCAAAATCAAATAAGACAATTTCAAAATAGTATGTACTATATGACTTCCTTTTTATAAAGTTTAAAAGCAAATGAGGGCAGGATGAACTGCAGGGAGGCTCTGAGACTGGCAGCAGTGTGAGGAGACCTGGTGATGTTCTTTTCTCTGACCAGAATGTGTTCTCTCTTTGAAAATGCATGACTTTTAGTATTTGTGATTTTTCTGAATATATGAGGCTATGATTTCAATAAGTGTCTCCCCAAGGTTCTGAATATTAAAGACTTGGTCCCTAAGGTGATGACATAGGTGGTGCTGTAACCTTTAAGACACAGGGCTCAAGAGGAAGTCTTCAGGTCTTTGGTACTGTGCCCTTGAAGGGGAATGTGTAACCTCAGCTCCTTCCCCTCTCTTTTTTTTGAAGTTAGTAAAATACAACAGAGCACAACAGAACAAAGTCAATTGAGGCAATGCAGTGAAACTGTTATAGAACTTTACAGCAAGATACCAGGATAACACTAATAGGTGCCAATATATCTTGTTATCTTTGCAATAGTTGTCCATTCAATTAGATGTACAAAAATCAAATCCAAAGCAGAATATTAGAAAATCAATCAAAACAGAATATTGAATAGAGCAAAGCAATTAATCAGAACAAAATGAAACAGTGAAAACAATTTTGAACTTCAAAGAGAAGACAGAAGGAAATCCCCCATATTTGCTATACTGCATAAGTCATCCTCCTAAGAGATGCCCAGACTTTTGTCCCCAGTTGCTAATGGTGGTGGGTGGGGGATAAGGAGAATGGGATGGTTGAGGCTCAGTCTGTACCTCTATAGACTCACAGAAGGTGCTGATTGGTTCTCTTTCTGGCTCACCTGCTATAGCCACTTACCAGGAAGAGGGTTTCTTGCTCAGCATCCTAAGTTCCAACCTCTCTTTATTTATTTATTTATTTATTTATTTATTTATTTATTTTTGCTTTCTGGCCATGATATTCTACCTTGTCATAGATCTAAAAGCAATGGACAGGGAGGGGTGGTGAGAAAGACAGATACAGAGGGAGTGAGTGGTAAATGGTAGATTCACAATTTGGACGTTGAGGTGGAATTCTTCTGCCTGGTCCTGACTCCACAGGAGCATTCTCCGCCCAGCTATGACCTGTGCTTTGTGCCAGGAGCTACCTATAGCCACAGACCTCACTTTTTTATGCAATGTGGACTGTACAGGTTGGAGTGTGCACATCCTGGGCTTCTGGCCCTGCAGGGTCAACTGGGCCAAGGACAGCCCTGACAAGACTCTGTTTTGGTCCAGGTGGGGTCTGCTTAAAAGAGGTGGGTCACTGGGGGGCATAGCCTGGACTTATCTCCTGGCTTTTCTTTTGACTTGCTTTGCTGCCTGTCCACCATGGCATGAATATGTTCCCTGAGTCATGCCTCTGCCTTGCTTTTAGAGCCAGCTAATATGGACTTTCTTTTGGTGCCAGCTAACTATAGGCTGAAACCCTTACAAACTATGAGCCAAAATAAACCTTTCCTCCTCGAAGTTGTGCGTATCAGGTATTTTGGCCAGGCAATGAAAAATGTGACCAAGACAAAAGGAGGGTGAGGTAAGCAGCCAGCCTCCTCCTGCACCACTCACACATGTTCCTGACTCAGGAACCCAGAACTCTTCTTATCAGAGTGTCATGCACCTCATACACACCTCACACTCATTTCTTGTTCTCTGTGCTGGCCTAAATCTTAGGGTGATGTATCAGGAAGGAACAGATCAACATGATTTCTTCAGGTCAATCTGAGCCAGCCTTGGGGAAGGTGAATTAGGGTCATAGTTCCAGGCTTGAGGTCAGAGCTCAGGATTCTGCCAGCCAACTTGTTGGGGTGGTTAAGAAAGAAGGGAACTAAAATGGAATCCTTTCACTCATTGAACTAGCGTTTACAGAGCCTTCCAGTTGTGCCCAGATCTGGGGTTGGAGTCACCAAAGATGAGTAAGAGGTGCCCTCATGGAGCCCTTGGCTTGTGTGATGTCAGAAGTGAGACTCTGAGTTCACCTAGGTCAGTTGGGTAAACTGAGGCGAGGGAGAATGAAGTCTGACTAGAGTCACATCCCCTTCAGAGCTCAGAGGACCCAGAAACACAAAGGTGTTCAGGATGAGTGCAGGAATTACTGGTTTCTCCCTCACTTTCCACTCTGGGAAGGAAGGGCCATTCAGGGTGCTGATAAGGGGCCATGAAAGGGAAAGGACTGGCTGGTGGTTTCCTTTGTGTTATCATTTAGAGGTAGAAGAAGAAAAACGTCATTGCTCTCTTCTTCTGCTTTTATACTTTTTATACTCTTGGAGTGACATGACAACAGAGGATGGAGGTCTCACAAATCATCCCTTCTCAAGCCTTTCACACTGCACTGGGGGAAACTTGCAGTCCCCTTTGGTGCAAGGCTGCAAACCAGAGCTGGCAAAGTCTGGTCTTCTCCTTCATGCCTACAGATGTGGTTGGATTGGCAGAAGTCTGTGCTCCACCTCCTGGGCACTGAACAGCTGGCCCTGACCTTGTGGTAATCCTTCCTCTGGCTGGAAGCGCTCAGCAGAACTCCAAGTGTTGCTCAGCAGGAATGTTGAACTTGAGTTTGTGGGCCTCAAAGAGGCTGCACAGCTCCTCCATGTAGTGCTGGTGTAACCGGTTCACCTCCTCTTCTGTAGGCTGCAGCGTCTTCTGCACCTCGATGGGCTTCCCCACTGCAAGGAACAGAGGTGGGCAGGGGTCCAGAGTGGGAACCACAGGGGTCACAGGAGCCCTTAGAGCAGGCCATTTGGCAGGAAAGTGCTCTTACTGCTATCCCTTCCCACCCTAAATTCAGGTGATAGATCCTGAGGTAGCGGGGCAACCCTGAGTTTCTGACTGATTTATCAATGTCCAGCTTTCAGTGTGTCAGGCAGTATGGTTTGTGCTTAACGTGTGTTCTCTCCTAAAATCCTATGGGAACAAAACCTGTCACTATTCCTGCTTGCCTGGTGAGGCAATGAGTGTCAAAGAAGATTAGTGCCCAGTTTCAGTTCACATAAGCAATAAGCTATAGCAGATTTTAATCCTGTAGGTATTCTCCTGGCCTCCAGGTTGTCTGATTCTGGGGGTCCACCCTTTGCAGTCTCTGTATTTCTAGGTTTTGGGAGGCTCAAAGCCCAGATTGGCTCTTGTTCACCTACTGCCCTGCATCCTGACCTGCAGACCCCCTCCCATCACACTGGGCAGTCAGAAAGGCCTAACCTTTCTGTGTGTCTGCCTGGCTAGGAAGGCAGCTCCCCAGTTCTTTCTTGGAAACATGACTGAAGGCAGCAGCAGGATTAAAATTCATGGAGGTTTGGTCAGATGATTCAGGGAACATCATGATGTAGAGGATTCCCTAATCTGGGATCAACTAACAAATAAATGCATGGGTGGAGGTGAGGCAAATGGACCTTTTGTCTGAAAAATTTGTCAGAGAACCTTAGTTGGAATCCAAGAAGACACCAAAGGAGGAGCCCAGTTAGTGAAAAAGATGGCAATAACTTTATGCATTTAAGCTCAGGTTCACTCAGCACAGGAAGTTCACTCAGCACCTCAGGCTTTAATTCAGAAACTATGAATTTCTACTTTGCACACAGTGATGATATGGTTACAATGCATTCCTGGTATCTGGTTCCTTCAAATTTGCCTCATTAGGTCCACTAGTTGAGATTTAAATCTTCCTTCTTTGGCATAATAGGAAGTTAGATCCTGATTCAAACATGAAGTTTGTTATTCAAAGGGAGTATGATCTTTTGTTAGGCACATAATTCTCTGAGCCTCAGTTCACCATCAATGAAATAATTGTGAATTATAAATAGAATAATAATGACTGAAATCTTGCTTCAAGGGATGAATTCCCTGCTTCAAAGATTGTTAGAAGAAACTGAGCTGCTGCACCTAGGCCAGGAGGTGTGGTCCCTGTCCCACGGTAGGGGCTCAGCAATCAGTAGTGAGTATGGTTCTTGCTGTCTGTTACAGTTGTTACCATAGCCTTCCTTATTTAAAGTTTTCTGCTGTGTGCATGTGCTAGTGTGTGTGTGTGTGTGTGTGTGTGTGTTGCCCAGTCTAAACCGTGATCCCCGAGAGGGTAGGATTGTATCTATCCCATCTCCATGTCCCCTTGCAGCACATAGCACAGTGTCCTCTCCCTGTGTCCCGGACCTACTGGCCTTGGTCTTTGCTTACCTATGGTGGTGACAGGGTGACGGTGAGGCATCCACCCAAAGCTGTACCAGAAGATACCACGGCCATAGAAAAGTGGGAGGGAGATGCCCATGATCTTCTGCAGCCAATTCTGGACACGGCGCAACCAGGAGCCAGAAGAGTTCTGAACCTGATGAAATAGGTCATTCTCCCCAAAGCAGAAGGCTGGCACCAGGGCTGCTCTACATACAGGGGAAATAAAAGGTGCCATAAACTACAAGATCATCAAGCTTCTTACAGGAACTCAGTGACCAGGACTGGAGTACAGGACAGAAGCCTGGGATGGAACCAGGGGGCCTGGATCAGCTCCCAGACCTGCCACAACCCCCTCTCTGAACTGGTGTGTCCTCTCAGGCCTGCAACTTCCTACTTGCATCATGACAGTACCCCAGAGTGCTATAGACAGTACTCCCTTGGATAAAACACCTGAATTTTGCTCCTAGAAAAATCTCTCCCATACTAGCTGGCTCACATTTCTCAAATATGCTCCACTCCAAGGCAGGGTAACATTTTTGCCATATGCTTCAACCCCATTTTTCCAGATCCTGTTAGTCTCAGCTCTTGTATCAGTTTTGGGGAACACATCCACTTCTTGGGCACGAAATACCAAAATATAATCTTCATTGTGGATGGACCAAGAGTCTCCCAGCCACATTAGAATCTCTGATAGTCTTTGCTCTTTTCCTACCAAAATGTAATCCTTGCCAATCTCCAACTGAACCCCAAGTGCTATCCCCTGAGGTCCTGTACCCGTGGGTCAGGGCAAGCCTGATGAAGCCCTTGCGTTTCTTCAGTATCAGCCTGTAGGATCCAGGCCTGGCCTCCAGTGCTTCCTTAGCTCCCCCGACGACGATGGCCAGCAGGTTCCCATTGCCCTTCCTGGTCAAAATGTGAGCAGCACTCTCCTTGTCTGTAGAGACTGCCCCTGGCAGGAGAAGAAGGTGGATTGAGTGAGCAAGACTGTGAGGCTAGGGGTGCCCAAGAAGAAAACTACCAGTAGCGTAAGAGGTCCGGGTTCCACCATGGTGCCCCACTTCAGGCAAGAGTCCTCCCAGCACAGTGCTACAAGGAGTTCTTTGGATCTGGCCTCCTGCACATGCTTTTGGAAGAACTGTAGAACTGTTGCATCCCCTCCCTAAGATGTCCTTCTACTTAAACCATCAGCCTCGTCTTCTTGAGGTTTCCTAGGTAGGGAGACTCACCCAAGGCCAAGATGCAATCTCGGAAGACTGGGAAATGGAAAAGAATGTTCATCGCCATCAGATGGGTTTTGATGCCAGGGAAAAGCGAGGAGAAGCCTGTGCTCTCAGTGCACAAGTTGACTAAGGTTCCAACCGCCAAGACTCCATGGGGGTGGAAGCTGGCAATGTAGTTCCAGGAGGGGTCCAGCTCAGCAGTCTTGATCAGCTGCAGGGACAGTAATCTGGTGAACCAAACCATGCCCTGTGCACCAATCCTGACTCAGCCATCCACAGCACTGGATAAGGTGCTGTGCTGTGTGAGCCTTAGACTCTACATCCTCCTGTCTCACTGCCCTGGCTTCTTATCCAGACAGTCTCAGCACGGTGCTGGCTGTGTTACAGATTTAGTACTGGCTTTGGGCAAAGTTTTTCCCTCTCATCTCAGGCTTCTCCTCGATGAGTACCTACTTAGTCAACAGCGCCATGCAGACCTCTGCCTTGTCTGTCCAGCCCCATCTTGCCACAAGTGCCTTGTGCCCTCTCACACTGTTGGCATGACTAGAATGCTCCAGTGCCTGCTGTGCTCAGGACACACAGAGCACCCATGTTGTTGGCTTGTTTATCACTCATCACGGTTCTAGGGAGCCAGCTACAGTGTTAGCCCCATTTTACTGCTAAGCATAGTGGTACACAAAGGAGTTAAGCAAAACAGGACACTAGGATCTGAGTTTGTGACCTCTTGGTGAGCACAAAGAAAGCTTACGAGCCAAAAGCCTTTGCTGCAGATCAAAAAGATTACCTGGGCCTCAGGGTTGGGTCTGGAACTTTCTAGTGAAACATATGAGGTTCAAGGCCTCAGGCCCCGGCTGGGAGAAGGTGGTTGCTGCCTCCATAGCTGCCTCTGGCTACTGCAGGTCCTGTTGTGTCCTTAGGTCCCTTGGAAAATTAAAAATGCCCAGCAAGTAGCACCTGATTCAGTAGGTCTAGTGCTGGCCTTGGCATGGGACTGTGTAGTGCCTGAGTACATATGCAGGGACTGGGCTCCTTCCCTGTCTCCTCTCAGCATGACAAAGTTTGGATGGAAAGGCTTCCATTATTTCTCTGGCTGTAGCAGTAGCTTCTTTTTGGACTGGGGTCACCCTTCAGCCTTCTCTAGTTTTTATCAAAGTTCTCAGGCCTGCCCACCCTCTCACTTTGCCACAGCCATCCAGTCATTCAACAGACTCCCTCTGACACCTACACACATTCCCTCAGCCCTCAACGGCACCTTTTCCCCTAGGCCTACACCTTCTGAATCAAGCTGCACCTTGGGGTCCTCTTTAGTTTTATTTTGCTTAATGGTACATAACCCACTGTATGATCTGCAACAGAGGGTACTGCAGAATTGAAGACGTACAGCCTGTGCCAGATCCTGAGCACTGGAAAGGGGGCACAGGGTGGGAGGCATTCCTGGCACCCACTCTGTGCCACCTGGAATACACCAATTTGCTTCCTCCTCAGCACCCTGGGGGGGGGGAGTGTTGATATCACTACCCCAGGTCACAGATGTAGGGAACTGAGGCACACAGCAAAGTTTCTCCAGGTCACATAGCAGAGCCTGGGTATGAATCCAGGTGACCAGGCTCCATGTTTATGTAACCCACACAGTCCGCTCCCTGTGTGCATCGCTGTAGGCAGGGAGTGGGATTATGCGGTGGGCACTGGTACAGGGACATGGCTCATGACCAGGACACTGGAACAGTGAGGGGAAAGAAGAGGCAGGTGAGGTTTGCAGTTGCAATAAGAAATAAGTTCGGCTCCAAGGAAAACTCCTTTGGGGGTGCTGGAAGATTTGGAGTCCAGAAAAAGAAATGACTGGGGTCAGGACTCATGAGTAGAGGAGAATGAGAGCTGGGTGTGGTGGCACACTCCTGTAATCCCAACACTCGGTAGGCTATGGCAGGATGATCCTTGTGATTTCAGGGTCAGCTTGGGCTACAAAGTAAGCTTAAGGCCAGCCTGAACAGCACAGCGAGACTCTGTCTCAAAAAGCCAAAAAAAAGTATAGAAGAAGGATAAGGAGTCAGGATGGGAACTTTAGTGCCCAGACCCTGGGCTTTAGAGCACTGGTTGTCAATCATGGCAAGTTCATTGCCTTCTGCCCCTTGATGGAGACATTTCATAGTATCTGCAGGTAAATTTTACTTGTAGGAACAGGGAGAAGGTGGTGCTGCTTGGCGTGAACGGACACTAGGGTTGAAGACAGTCCCCACAACAAAGAGTCAACCATCTTCAAATGTCAGTGGTGAAAAGGCTGACAGAGCCCCCAGGACGAGGGCTGGAAGGTGCAAGGGCAGGGAGGTGGGGGAGCAGTTCCTGTCCTGCCCCACATCTGGTTGTGACAGTGACTAGCATGTTAAGGACAGCATTTCCTGACCCTCAGTAACAGACCTGGTCAGAGAACTTGGCCCCCACCCCACCTCAAGGCTTTGGCCCATGTATACAGTGTTTGTGCTAGACCATGAAACCTCTGCAGCTAGGGACTCCCAGCTCTTGGGCCACTTTGGCCTGGAGTAGGAACAGCTTTCTCCACTCAGAGCTTAGCCTGACACTACCATTAGCTCTTTAGGAAGCAGATGGGTAACTTTCGTGTAGCGGTTTCCTCATTTCGCTTGGAATTTCATCCTTAGGAGCTAGTTCCTAAAGTCACAGTGAGAAGCAATGGAAGCTCAGAAACTATCATGGGAGGACTGCATGCAAGTGATGGGGAGTGGAAGGGGAGCTCAACAGAGCTGAGGTCACTGACCTCCTGCTGAGTCCAAGGGCACTGCATGGGCTGTGCTGTAAAGGTGTACAGATGGGAGGGAGAGTGTCCTAGGAAGTCTGGGCCAGGGAGTCTGCAGGCCAGAGCCCAGCCCTGCAGGTGTGCAGCTCAGGAGGGCCAAGCTAAGGTGAATAGCCTCTGGCCCTCTCCTGGTCATTCAGTGATAATGCTCATGTTTGGCAGAAGTGTTGCAAAGGGTATGGAACAAACCTGAAAAACTGTGCAACTGGTTTCTGCAAAATCAACTAATGCCCTGTCAGTGTCAGCAGTGAAGAAGTTAAGAAGCTTCTTCAAGGGCTGGGGAAGGAACAAAAAGGACAGTGCCACCACTTCAGCATTCCTTCTGCCAGTGCTGCAGATAAAAATGTCTTTTTGAGCCAGATGAGGTGGCTCATGCCTGTAATCCTAGCACTTGGGAGGTTGACGCAGGAGGATTGTTGCAAGTTCGAGATCAGCCTGGGCTACAAGTGAGTTCAAGGCCAGCCTGAACTGCACAGAGACCCTGCCTCAACAAAAAAATTGTCTTTTTGCACTAAGGCTATATTTTCTCAGGCAAAGCCTGATAGTCCTGACAAAGAATGAGGAGCCCCAGGCTGGAGAGATGTGAAGCAGGGAAGGAAGTTCAGGATCTCAATGCTCACAGGTCCAGGGGTAGGGACAGGGGACTCTGCCCATGAGACATCCTGGCTGCTCCTGGGGTCCAGCAAGCCCTGACTTATCTTTGCTGACAAGATACCAGGAGTGGACCCTGCAGACAAAGCACATTTGAGGGGTGGGCAAACAGCCCCCAACTTGATTCTCCCAAGCTAGTGCAGGTCTTCTGCCCTTCGACACCTATGATACCCATGAACCCAGGGTGGGTAATCAGTCTAAGCCAGCCCATTCTCTTACCCTGCCCCTCCCACTTGGTCTTTGCTCTGGAGGTCCCACTCACCAGGGTGTAGGGGCTACGGCTGGCACTCAGATCTTGCCAGCCCTTGTGAGGGCCTAGGGCCTGCACAAGGAAGCCCGGCAAGATACCTGACTTTGCTGCAAAGTGCCTGGGACTCAGGCAGTTGTTTAACCTCTGTGAACCCACTTCCTCCACTCTCTCCCCAACTGGAGGCCTAATTCCTGGAAAGGCAGGAATAGCTGGGTTTGTGCACAGGGTGGGAGAAGCCAGGCAGAGGTGAAGGCACCAGGCTCCCCGAGACCCCTCCCACCATAGCCATGCCCAGGGTTCCTCAGAGTCCCACTGACTCAGTGAAATAATACTGCACCAGTGTCCTGAGGACTGGCAGTTCTTTGCCTTCTCTGTCTCAACTGCATAAATGCTACTCGGGAAGTGTCTGGCAACATTTCCATTTTACAGGTGACAAAACAGGCTCAGACAGACTCTGGAATTCATCCACAGTCACACAGGTGCTATATGGCAGACCTGAGATCAGAATCTAGTGTGTTTCTGGTTTCAGAGGTCCCATTTACTCTGTCCTGTTTCCAAAGGAGAGCCAGCCGTGCCTGCCTGGGCTCTCTTGTGTCTCCAGGATCTTCCCATCCTATGCCCTCTGGACAACAAAGCTTTTGCTGCCTAGATTAAATCAGGGTTTGGTGTTTCAGTGGAAGAGTCTGCTCAGCCTTCAAGTCCAAGGCCTGGAGGTCTGATGGGCCAGACAGCCAGAGAGCTGAGGACACTCACAGTAGGAGGACATGTCTGCAAACTGGACCCAAAGGAAGCCTGAGGCTCAGAAAAGGCAAAGGCCTTGCCATGAACACACAGAACCAGAAAGAGGGACAGGACAGAACCTGAAGACTCTGATGGCTCTGTTACCTCTTTCCTTAGCTTTGCCAATAGAGACTTCAATATTTGCCAGACAACTTGCTATGTGACCCTGACCCCACCTGTGTTCCTCTCTGTGTCTCAGCCTCCTCATCTGAGAAGTGTAAAAGGTCTCTTACAACCTACAGTTTATCACATGAATGCAAACTTGGGTTGCCGATGGAACTGTGCTTTCACAACTCATGCGTTGGACGTGATGCATCCCACAGAGCTCATTTAAATCCTCTCATTGGTTGGGGGAGATTTGGTTCAGCGGCATAAGTGCCTGCCTGGCAAGCCTGAGATTGTGAGTTTGATCCCTGGAACAAAAAATTTCTCTCATTGGCCCTATATTCCAGTAGTTGGGAAACCATTGCCAGAGACAGGCTGGACCCTACTCACCCCAGCCACATGATGGGGGAAGTACAGGCTCCTATCTCCCAGCCTGGTGCTCTGCTCACTGCACACAGGGCCACTAGTTCCACAAAGATGTGGAGTTCTGGATCCCGTCCCCCCACCTCAAAGTAGCTCAATACTCACCGAGATTGGGAAATAGTCTCTTATGTAATTCCATACGACAAAGCGCCTGTAGCTCTCTCTGTGCCCGCTCCCCTGCCACGGCGTGTCTCGGTCCAGGAACCACCAGAAGGCGTACAGCACAGTCAAGAGCCAGAACCTAGTGAACAGGAGGCCTACAAAGACCCCGAGGGAGGTCAGGCCTGGAGAGGGAAGCAGAGCATGAGGGATCCCAGGTCTGTGAACAGTACAGGGACACTCCCCAGACCAGAATGTCTCTGCCGCGAGGCCTGCACTGGCAGCACCATCCTGTACTATTCTTGACTCCAGCAGGAAGCCCAGCTTTATTTCCATCCTTCCGCCATGAAGTAGTTATGGGTGCTGAGAGGGAACATGGCCAACCCAGAGCCACGCTGGTGCATGGGTTGAGCCCAGGTGGGTCTCAAAATCATGCCACCCACCCCCAACCTGCACCTGGATTCCTGACCCCAGCTGTCACTCTGTCTCGGTCCCTCTCCCAGTCAGGCAGTCTGCATTTACCACTTGCTCAGTACTGGGGGCACAGAATGGATTAGCTCTTCTAATTCTTGTCTATGGGACTCGGAAAAAGAGACCCTTTTCTTCCCAGTCCATTTGTGTTCACCCTCTGCCTCATCCTACTAAAGATAAGGCTGGCTGGGTTCCCTTTTCTACTAAAGCCCTCCATGGCTTCTCTTTAGCATCAAAGTGCAGCCCCAGGGCTCAGTTGGCATTGGACTCCCATGGCTCGCCCAGTTTCCTTCTGCCCTTGGTCCTTCTCCTGCTTCCACACCCAAAGCTCTGGCCTCATGCACATACTCAAAATCCTTAGGCCACCAAGCTCCTCTCCTTTGGCTCCAGTGCCCTTTCTTGGTGAAGGAAGAAGGCAGGTAAAGGTCAGCCCCTGCTGGTGCTTGTGTGAGCAGCAGGGTCAGGCCCAGGCATAGCAAGGAAGTCCTCTCTGATCCTTGCCACGGCTAATCCTGTTTGATTTCAGGGTCAAGTGACCTGTGACACCACCCCTAATCTGATGCCAATAGAGTATTATATCACTCTCGCCACACCACTCACTCCGTGCATTTTCCCACTTCATGTCCCATGCTGGGGGTTGAACTGTGGGTCTCAGGCATGCAAGGGAAGTACTTTAACACTGACCATACCCCCAGCCCCCATACTTATATTCCTAAAGAAGGCCAGCTTCTGGTGGTCCCCTTGGAAGTAGAGAACTCGGCCTGGCAGCCTTCCTGGGAGAAACAACTTTTCAGCTGGTCTGAATGGTAGTGCAGGTTCAGAATCAGCAGAAGTAGGTTGGGGCTCACAAACAGTTGCTCTGCATGGAGCACCTACATGGTGCCAGGTGTTGGTAATTTAGTGTGGACCAGTACTCAAGGAAACTTTCCAGGGTTGTGCTTGGGGCATTTAGTTTTTTTTTTTTTTTTTAATTTTTTACTCGGGTAAAATATTTGTGAAATAAATTTAACATCTTATCCATTTTAAAATACACAGTTCAGTTATAATAAAGACATTCACAATTTGTGAGACCATCATCACTCTCAACTACCAGAACATTTATAGTTCTCCCAAAGAGAAACTTTATCCTCATTAAATAGAAACTCTTCTTCCCCCTCTTCCTCTTAGCTCTGGAAACCACCATTCTTTTCTCCCTATAAGTTACTACAATCCTTGTTACATAGTATAAGTGGGACTATGAATTATTTGTATTTTTTTGAGACAGGGTTCCACACTGGCCTTCAACGTGTGGTGATCCTCCTGCCGCAGCCTGCCAAGTGCTGGCATTCCAGGCTTGCACCACCATCCCCGGGAGCATTTGTCTCTTTAGAATGTCTTGCTTTACTCTGCATGTTTTCAGTTAGTCTTTGTAGCAAGTGTCACAACTTCCTTTTAAGACTGAATAATACTCCACAGTAGGTATATACCACTTTTTGTTTATCTATTTAGTCCCTGATGGACATTGTGGCTGCTTCCATGTTTGCCCTTGTTTGCACTTATTTCTAAAGCTTTCAATAATGAAGCAGAGAGAGACTTCCCACACCAACACAGAAATGGATGTCTCTTGGGAAACAGGGAGAAATGGCAGGTGGGAGTCTGCCTTCCCCAATGCCCCTCCTCCATGCACCCAGACTTCTTTCCAGCCTGCAGCTCTTGTGCTGTGCTAGCCCAGTCTCTATCCTCAAAAGGCCTGGACTTTTCCTGGGGGCAGGGGAGGAGCCAATGCAGCTTAGGTGTTGGTTACATGTTTGTTTGTCTTAAATATTTTATAATGAATATTTTCAAAGAGAAATTTTCAGAAGGGTGGAACTGAAATGCTACCCTGTACATGAAACAGGACATTCACATATGCACAGGGGAGGGAAGGATCTTGCTGATCTGGAGGAAGCTGATAGAATGCCAGCAAGCAAGGATAGAAGGGAGAGAGGCTTAACTTTTGTTCACTTTTTTGATATTAAATATACTTAATGACCTTTACAATAGCATCCAAAGAAATGAAATACTGAGGAAACAATCTAACAAAAGAAGTAAACTATCTATACATTGAAAACAACAGTACTCTGGGAAAAGAGACAGATGAAACCATTAGAAGATAGAAAGACAGGCCGGGGGTTTAGCTCAGGGGTGTAAGTGCCTGCTTGGCAAACACGATGTCATGAGTTCGATCCCTGGCATGTGCACTCACACACACACACACACACACACACACACACACACACACACACACACACAAATAAGGAAAGAAAAGAAAATGGAAAGATGTCCCTTGCTCATGGATAGAAAGAACCAACATAGTGAAAAGACCTTTACTCCCAAAACTGTTATACAGATTTAATGCACTCTTGATCTAAACACCATCAGCATACCTCACAAAACTGAGAGAACATTTCTAAATTTCATTTGAAAATGAAAGTGACCTAAAATAGCAAAAGCAAATCTGGGCAACAAAAGCAAGTCGGGGGACATCACAATCCCTGACCTGAAATTATATTGCAAAGCTACTGTGATAAAATCAGCATGGTATTGGCAAAAAAACAAACAAACAAACAAAAAAAAAAACAAAACAAAAGAACAAAAAAACAAAAACCTGAGGGTCAGTGGAATAAAATACAAGATGCAGACAAATACAAACACACTAAACCACCTTATCTCCAATGAAAAAACCAAATGTGTTCACTGGAAGAAAGGTAGTCTCTGCTGGAAAAACTGGTTTTCCACATGCTGGAGACTAAAAGTAGATCCATGTCTATCACAATGCACTACAGAAAAGTCAGAATGGATCAAAGATCTAAATATTAAAACAGAAACACTAAATCCGCTGGAAGAGAAAATAGGTAGAAATCTTGGAGACATAAGTGTAGGCAGAGATTCCATGAACAAAACCCAGATTGCATGGGAAATACAACAAAGAATGAACGAAATCTCACTTTATTAAATAGTTTTTGCCACCTGAATGACCTGTTGTGAAATTTTGTCTTAGTTTTCTTCTTCTTCTATATTTTTCTTTTTCAGTCTGAAATAAAATGGATTTGAAGGGAAAAAAAGCTTTGCGCAACAAAATAAATCACCCACAAAGTGAAATGACAATGCAGAATGGGAAAAAAGTGAAAAGACAACCCACAGAGTAGGAAAAACTTTATAGCCAGTGGTCCCTCAGACAAAGACCTAGAACATACTAAGAAATGAAAAAAATCAGGCCTGTAAGCAGAGGGGTGGTGCATGTCTGTAATCCTAGCACTCAGGAGACTGAGGCAGGAGGATCATTGCAAGTTCAAGACCAGCCTGGGCTACAAAGTGAGCTCAAGTATATAACAAGACTCTGTCTCAAATACACATATACACACATAAACACACACAAATCAGGCCACCAATATTCAAAGACCCAATCAAAAAATGAGTGAGATGAATACACATTTTCCAGATGACATACAAATGGCAAATAGATGTATGAAAAAATGTTCAACATCAATGGTTATTCAAAAGATGCAAATTAAAACAATGAAATTCCATCTCATTCCAGAAAGAATGTTATCATCAATAAATCAATGAATAACAAATGCTGACAGGGCTGTGGGGAATAAAGAACACTTTCCCACTGTTGGTGGGAGTGTAGACTGGTACAACCACTGTGGAAAGCAGTGTGGAGATTTCCTAGACAACTAGGATTTTTATAGTGCCTGCCTGGCAAGCACAAGGTGCTGAGTTCAATTTCTGGCATCAAAAGCAAAATGAAACAAAACAAAATTTAGGATTACATGTTGCATTTAACCCAGCTATTCCCCTTCTGTGAATCTTCCCAGAAGAATTAAAAACATCCTAGCCTGGCGGACCTTTCTCTCGCCTTGGGGACGTGCCATGGCTTCCTGCAGGGAACAGTGAGCCTGGTCCTGGCCGAGCCACGAGACCCCATTACAGCCTTGCCTCTCTCACCCGGAGGGCACACGGCAGCTGCCCCACCTGAAGGAAGGAACTGGGCCAGGCTGCGGGAAACTGCTCCGACTTTACCTGGGACCTTCTTTCGGCCTGGAGAGCTCCAGCACTACTGCCACCGCCTGGAGGAAGGAGCTGCCCTGCTGAGGAGGGAAGCTCTGCTGCCACAGTGGGGAGCTGTATAGCTTGAGGAGGCTTTAGGTCTACCTGAGAGGAGCCTGGCAACTTTCTCTTAATCTGGGGGCTTAGCTGCCCAAGGAGGGAGCTACACTACCAGAAGAGTCCCAGGAGTCCAGGACATAAGAGACACTTTCCAAGAGGCCGAGGGGAAGTTTAGAACAACACCTGAAGCTTGAAAATATAGGAAAATGACAAAACGAAAGACCAAAATGCAATCTCAAACATCCAGCCCATCCCAAGAACACCTAGGAGGCATGTACATAGAAGAAAATACAGGCCACATACCTGAAATACCTGAAATAATAGTAACTAAAATAAAGAAGCAACTCTGGGAAGTCTTAAAGGAATTCAGACTAGAAATAATCTCTCAGGTAAAAGAAGAAATGATAAAAGAAATGAAGGAGATGCTGAACATATCTAAAGAAGACACAGTTAAAAAATTGGAGAAACTAAACAAAAAGATAGAATTCCTAGATAAACAATGTAAGAAACAAACCATATATAAAGCAGATGCAAAGAGACATACAGGAAATCAAAAATTCCATTGAAAGTTGTAAAAAACCGC